GCCTGCAAAAGATAACGAGAAAAAAACCCCACAGATTTTAAGACAGGATTTTTTTTTTTCTTTAAATAGAATTTTTTATTTTATTTTGGGACAATATCGTCTGATAAAGGGTACATTTATATATGTGTTTAAGCCAGAATGATTTGACATTTAAATATGATTTCCCTACAACTTTAATTTCAAGTTATTAAAAAGTATATTTTTGGTTCTGTTAATGAAAAGTTGTTGCAACAAAGACTTTTTAAATAATGTCAATTTACATTACAAGTGTCAAAATTCACTGAATGACCCTTAATAAAAGTCATAAAAACTCCTTCATGTTCTTAGAGCAATTATAACAGCTTCCATGAACTAGTTAGACTAGTTGCACAGATGTTAACTTATTACAGTGGCAAATGCTTCAATATCTAAATAGAGGCTTATACTAAGTTTGGACATATTTATGATGGATTTCTTAGTCAATGTCAAGTAATTAAAAAAGTACATTTTTGGTTGCAACAAAGACATTTTAAATAACGCCAACCTACATTACAAGTGTCAAAATTCACTTAATGACCCTTCATAAAAGCCATAAATATTGAAAAAAACTCCAAGTTCATGTTATTAATCAGTCTAATGTCAATCCTGCAAACGCCTTCAGGTAAAGTGGAAAGTTTTACTGAAACAAACTAATTGGTCGAATAAAAACTTATCTAAACCTGCAAAGGGTAACAATCATTTTAGGCGGAACCACATTCTACAGCTAAAACTTTAACGATTTCTTACAAAAACTAAGTTATTTTTCAGGTCCCAAAGCTTGTGAAATAGACATCCAAACAGGATGGGTAAAAGTATGCTATTCAATCTGACTTTATTTTAGTTATGCAGTGTTTATAGAGTGTGGTTTGTTTATACTGTATCTTTTTCAAATAAATAGCAAAAAGTTACACATATGCTGCAACTAAAGAGTTTATTTTCCATCTTGATTTCAACATCCAGTATATTTATGAGCTCTCGGTGCTGAAATCCTCCAGTTTAACGGTAAAACTGGTTTCTATGGGTCAGATTTATGATGAGGTGCGTCTATTTTCACTCGTTGGATCTGACAATATGACCCAAACAACTCACCACAGAGGGCCAGATATAATAGGTAAATTATATCTAAAAGTATATTATATTGTATTTCTCATATCTAAAAGTATATCTATATTTGAATATGAATTTAAAAGATGATTTATTTTTTACTTTGTATGTTATCCTGTTTTTCGATTTCACAGTAGTAAGTAAATATATGATTCCTCCTCTTGTTTCTATTGCTTCTAGTAGTGTTTATCATCCCTACATTTTTTATAAGACTGATTCTTTAATGATGAATTGATGGCAAATTCTGCAATCTAAAATCTGATATAACACTGACGCCAAATTGTTTAACTCCTAGACAGCATATGATAAATAAACCATAAATTTTATTTGACTAGCGGTAGACCAATACATCCTCTGCTTTCAGACATGCAACACGACAATTTCACATCTCCGGAATGTCAAGTTTCTTACTGTATTTTCCCCACTGCACAAAAACTACCCTGACCACTGAAGCCACAATGTTGTGATCAGATGAAACATGTGAAGTCTGTCTTTTTTCTTTCCTCGTTTCATGTTTTCTTCCTCCATTTCTAGAGAGTAACTGACTCACTCTTTGTTGGGTCAGTATCATATTAACCTGGATGTAAAGTCTGACAAACATAGAGGTTTTTTTGTTGTTTTTTCTACCCATGACTGATGATTAGGATCAGACACATCAGCACGCCTGTGAAGCGCTTCCTTTAACCCGTGAACGTCCGCCACCTCTGGATTATTCACACGCCACATATTTTGTGGGTGACCAGATTTTTAAGAATGATGATTAGTCCTGAAAAATATTGACTATTTTTCTTAGAATGGTCCCGGAAGAAAGAATGGTCACCCTGATGTCTGTGTCATCAAATTCTGTGAGTGATGGACGTTGAAGCATCTGAAGGGGAACACAGCACCCCCTGCTGGACACCCTGCAGTTTGCTTTAAGAGCCAAACGGCAACTGCGGCTTTGCAGCATCTCCTGGACAGAGGCGCCCAAACAGCTTGGACTTTTACCTTCAGGTTAGCGCTACAGAAACCCACAGCGGCCACAGAAACGGTTTACATCCAGAGTCTCAAGGTCAGAACCGTGCATATTCACATGAATTCTACTATTGTTTGATTTATTTTCCCCATTTCATTTTCCACAAAATTTAAGAAGTCTTCACTGCAATTTAAGCTTGGCCTAAATTCCTTGCTTATGTACATATAGTTAGTAAATAATGTAAAACATCTAAAAACTAAGCAAAGTAAGAATTAAAAGAGGTGTGATATCCAGCTGAGTCAAGATTTTTAATGAGGTATTAGAAACTGAGAAAGGAAAAAAAAAGCATTTTCCTCTTTAACAAGCAAATTTCTGTTGAGCTTTGAAAGTCTGTAAAATCGACAGAAGGAAAGCAAAAGAGAAGCTGGCGAAGGTATGAGATGAAAGGAAAATGAAGACTAAGCAGAGCGGATTAAATAAAGAAAACCCCTGTTGTCTTTTTTTT